ATACTATGTGAATCTCCCATTTGACTACAAGCATGTTGGACGGTTTGCTATATATTTCTATCACTAAAGGGTTTCACTTTATGTTTTTGATTATAGAGGGTTGGTGTTTGCAATCCAGTTATGCTGTTAGATGAGATTGACAAAACAGGCTCGGATGTTCGGGGTGATCCAGCTTCGGCACTACTGGAGGTTTTGGATCCAGAGCAGAACAAATCTTTCAATGATCAGTATCCTATCATGTTCCCTAGCGTCCAAACTTTGTTAGCCTTGTTGAAATCTTCTTGAGTTTTAAATCTTGAAACTGAAAATATCACCTACTCTTAGGCAAAAATACTTTAATAGATATGCTTGGTTTAGTTTGACACTGTTAATTTTATGGAATCAAGAGTTACCCTTAACTGAAAAAATAGTTATCTGAATGTTCCATATGACTTATCGAAAGTGGTGTTTGTTGCCACTGCGAATAGGGTTCAGCCTATTCCACCTCCTCTTTTAGACAGGATGGAGCTAATTGAGTTGCCAGGTTATACGCAAGAGGAAAAGCTTAAGATAGCAATGCGTCATCTGATTCCTCGAGTTCTAGATCAGCATGGGCTGAGTTCTGAGTTCCTCAAGATTCCAGAGGTACAGTTTTATTTGAAATTTTTAATTGACTTTCGATAATCATCTCTTGTGGGTATGGTTATGCAGTTTCATATTAAGTTTTCTTCCTATATTGGCCATAGGCCATGGTCAAGAATATAATTCAGAGGTACACAAGGGAAGCCGGTGTTCGAAGTCTGGAAAGAAACTTGGCTGCTTTGGCTCGTGCAGCTGCTGTGATGGTCGCAGAGCATGAACAAACTCTTCCGTTGAGCAAAGATGTGCAGAAGCTTGCCTCTCCTCTGCTTAATGGCAGAATGGCTGAGGGAGGCGAAGTGGAAATGGAAGTTATTCCAATGGGTGTAAATGATCATGAGATTGGAGGTACCTTCCAGAGTCCTTCACCTTTGGTGGTGGATGAGACCATGCTTGAAAAAATCCTTGGGGTAAAGCTCTCTTTTGTTCACCTTTATATTGTGATTGCAAACGAAAGTGACATTTTGTGGAAATAAAACAAATGATGTTTTGTGGTTGCAATGCAATGCAGCCTCCAAGGTTTGATGACAGTGAAGCCGCTGATCGAGTGGCGTCAGCTGGCGTTTCCGTGGGTCTCGTGTGGACTACTTTTGGTGGAGAGGTCCAGTTCGTGGAGGCGACGTCTATGGTGGGTAAGGGCGAAATGCATTTGACGGGCCAACTCGGAGATGTTATCAAAGAATCTGCTCAGTTAGCTCTCACATGGGTAAAAAAAAAACATCTTCGCTTGATGAAACCTCACTCATTACAGATATGTAACATTGAGAAGAAATTATAGTTGAATATCATGTATTGATGCATCTGTAGGTAAGAGCACGTGCGTCGGATTTCAAGCTGGCACTTGCAGGGGACATGAATGTTCTTGATGGACGAGACATTCACATTCACTTTCCTGCTGGTGCGGTCCCGAAAGACGGACCATCAGCGGGAGTGACTCTGGTGACGGCTCTGGTTTCGCTCTTCAGTCAGAAACGAGTAAGAGCAGACACAGCCATGACCGGAGAGATGACACTCAGAGGTCTCGTCCTTCCCGTTGGTGGCATCAAAGATAAGGTGAAAAGCTGCTTCTAACTATATAATACATCACAAAGCTCTTTCTAACTATATAATACATCACATCGTTACTTAATGGAAGATTAATGATAACAACATGTGGGGGTTGATTTGATGAACAGATACTGGCTGCACATAGGTATGGTATCAAAAGAGTGATTCTACCGCAGAGGAACTCCAAGGACTTAGTTGAAGTACCCGCCGCTGTACTTTCCAGTCTTGAGGTAATGTTTAATTTACTTAACTCCGACTCTAGCGTTGCTGTTCGTTCGATCTGGGGTTGCTCGGCGATGATTTAGATTGTGGTGTGCATGCAGGTGATATTGGCAAAGAGAATGGAAGACGTCCTGGAGAATGCATTCGAAGGAGGTTGTCCATGGCGGAAACACTCTAAATTATGACACGACCAGTCCGAAAAGCTCTGTCTTTTAAGACCAAACAGTTGTTTTGGTATCAGAATGTTTGCATCTTTACCTTTTTTTTTTTTTAACTCTCGATCACCTCTTTCCTCTATATTTGTAAGTTTGTGTATGTAACGGGGGCTTCATATCTTTTATCATCTAATTTATTTTACTCCTCATCACTCACCACAATTTGATTTATACGACTTGTTCAATATATATATGTTGGGTTCATAATTGGACAAGAAAGAAGCAATTTGGATATACACATAATAACTCGCATTCTTATTGATCTTCAAAAATCTTATGTAAACTGCAAATGATTAAAACTGACACGGCTTTTTTTTTTATGAGGCATGTAACATCAAACACTCTAGTCACCCACCTTTCTCTTAGTATTTATTAATAATTATTAAAAGTAGAGTTTGGTTATGGAGAAACAGCCAAGTTTCAGCAAGATTTTTTGAAATTTTAGAGTGTCCTTCCTATCTTCGTTTCAGTCGTAAGAGCAGATTGTTGTACAGTGTACACTGTGAACAGAATCGAAATTCACCTGCTTTTGTTGTAATACACTCATTTTAGATTCTTAGAAAAGACATGGTTTTGGATATGGAACAACAAATGCAAATGAATATACTGTAACACAGAACTCAGATTTTAGTACTTTACCATTAATCAAAACCGTTTGAATTCGATCAATTTCCATAATATGAAAAACTGATCAAAGTCAAACAGGAACCTTAGTTACAAATCTCTAAACAAAAATAACAAAGCGAAACAATCTATAGACATAAGAGTCGTGGTGATGATCACAAGTTACTACTAATATTAACTGATAATAAACCTTGTTCTCTTCCTTTAAACTGCAGCAATGGTGTTGAACAAATCAGAGTAGCGTCGATTATCTTGATCCAAATCTCTGTTCGTCGAGACATCACCAGGAAGCATCTGATCACTCTCCAAGAGCCAAGCATCGAATTCTGGATTATCAAAAACCGTCTCGAAATCTATCAGTTGATCGATATCCATCTCTTGATCCAAGCTTCCAGTTAAACCCATGTCGTTGTTGTTATTCTCCTCCGTCGCAACCATCTGACTCTGTTCTTCAGTAATCTCCTTGTAGTCGGAAGGTAAATCATCACGGCTGCGACAAATTGGAGAATCGAGTTCAGGAATTAGGGTTTGATCGGGCTTGCTCTTCTCGTCGCTGTGATCTCTTTGAAGAATTAGGGTTTGATCGGGCTTGCTCTTCTCGTCGCTGTGATCTCCTTGAAGAATTAGGGTTTGATCGGGCTTGCTCTTCTCGTCGCTGTGATCTCTTTGAAGAATTAGGGTTTGATCGGGCCTGTTCTTCTCGTCGCTGTGATCTCTTTGATGATTCCGACCACTTAAAGATTCTCCCTTACGCAACTCCTTCAATTTTGACAACAGAGTCGAGATTGAGTTGATAGACGCCGTCAAATCTTCGAGATTATCCGATCTCGCGAGAGCGTCTTCCTCCCACCATAACCCTAACCCTAATTCCTTGCGAGCCAAGCAGATTCCAAGGTCCTCTTCCCTCGTCTCTTCCCGAACAGGCACAGGACGGTTTCCCGAGAGAAAAGCCGAGACGACGGCGTCGACGGAGGAGTGTCCGAAGGAGTAAAAAGAGGCGTTGGACTGGGAAGAAGGAGGCGTCGCTAAAACGGCTATTTGTCCGCCGGAGAGGAGACAGAGTTGCGATGCTTTGCTGTAAAGCCCGTCCTTCCGTTTGGTGAAAGCCGTCGCTAACGATCCTTTCTTCCCGATCTTCTCCATCGGAATCTTTCTTTTAGTGCCGCCGTGTTTCACCATCCTAGGGTTTTTTTTTCTTAATTTCACAATTCAAATTACGAAAGAGGATTTTTTTTTTTCTCTGTTGTGAGAGCAATTTTCGTGTTGCAGAAAGCGCAGACTAGTGATGTGGCCTCTCTCAGTATATATAGACAGACAGTGTGTGCGCTCTACGAAAAAAGGAAAACTTAACTTCGGCGTTGTAAACCGATTTATCGGTTTAATTAAATCGGTTTAATTAAACCGGTTTTAGCTAGGTTTAAGTCAACCCCCCGCGTTTAAATTAACGCCGACTTTCTTCGACTCCCCCCCGATAGACAAAAGTTACCAAACCATTTAACTTGATTTCTTCGGTTTATGTAATTACTAAACCAATTAAACCAATACTGATTTTTAAAGATATATATTTTTTTTTGACTGCGAATTTTAAAGAGATTTAAACATTAAAATTAATAATTTGCACTGAACGGTTACACTTCACAAAAAGAAAAGATTCGGTAGTTTTAAAACATCAATTTAAACATCATCCATTGATTCTTTAACAATCTACGAGAAACACACAGAAGTTGAGTTTGAGATTAGGTATTATTATACACATGTTTTTGGTCTGCCACTAAACCAAAAGTTTTGATTAGCATTTCAAGTTATTCTTTTCAAAACCTCGGATGAACTCTAATGATGTTTAAGATGTAATGTGACTATGAATCTAACATAATCAGATTTATCTAACATAACATTCATTATCTGATATAAGAAATTATCTGTCCAACAGTCGAAGTATTTCAAACTTTCAACCATTACGGAAAGTAGCAATAATTTTTGCGAGATGCACGTATACAGGTCTTACATAGCAAAATATTAGGAAATGAAAACATTAAAATAAATTCGAAACTTTAGTTTTCTCAACACAAACAAGTAGAGAGAGATATGAACACAAGAAACTTTTTTTCATGTTGTGTGCTCTTCAACAAAATCATTTATTCAAGCAAAGTCCCAACACAATTAAACAAAAGGAAAAATCAATATCTAATTTATTCCATCCTTTGTAGTAAAAAGGGACTTCACAAATCACTTGAAAAGCCAAAGGAGGAAAAGAGAGTGAAGAACCTTCTTCTTCTAGCCCGAGAGAGCTGCGTTCATAGCACTGTGAACTTCGACACCAATCTGTGCCTCTGCTTTCTCAAGATCTGTTGTTGCAGAAGCAAGTTTCTGTGTGAACTCAGCTAAACCCTTTTGGACTTGGCTAGGGTCAATGTTCTCAAGCGGCACGGCCTCGACAGCAATTATGTCAGCGACGGAGTTCGCGTGGAGGAATGCGAAACCACTGCTCACGAAGTATTTCTTCACGTCAGTGCCTTCGTGAACGGACATGATACCGGGTTTCAGCTCAGCGATTGTTGGAACGTGTCCGGGCAAAACTCCCATTTGTCCTGTTGTCGCGGGGATGATGACCATGTCGACCTTGAAGTGTACAAAGAGAAACCAATAAGCTTTTGAGTTATGGATAGAAATACAAGAAAAGAAACCAGTCAAGAACTATGGGATAGTTGTGAGTTTGTATATACAGAAGAGGATGATAATATTAGCTTTCGATGCATCATGAAGAAAGTCTAGGACGATATAAGTTTTCGATGCATTCTACATGAAGAGACACCACAGCGAATCCACTCTGCTAGTATTCAACTGTAAACTATGAGAATCTGAATACAATTACGATATAACAACGAATAGATTACTACTGGCCATGGAAATTAAGAAGTTACAACCCACATTCAGTCTACCTGCATACCACATTATATATCAATAGAAGAGAAAAGATATGCTACATTTACAAACCAATTCACATATGTTAACAGTCAGCACTCAGCACTTAGGTTTTTCAATACCATGTAGGATCAATACTGGCCATAAATCTCACGGTTTCAATAATAGAACCTATCAGACATAATTTATCAATACCATTAACCATAAAAGCCAGAAAAACTTTTTTTAGAGTTGCCATCCAAATATCTCATTTTAATGATTGATCAACAAAGAACTAAGAGGCAGTGGATTAATCAAACTAGTCTCAACTTTTCATTGAAGAAATCTAACAAGAAACTCACTGCAGAAAAGAAAAAAAGAATCCAAAACAAGTGCCTATTGACATTTGGCTATCAAGCATTGACAGGTGCAAGTTTTGATTTGCAATTCTTCATTGCTAACAACTATTGAAAGACATCCAGAAACTAAAACAATCGGCACTTCTGCTACTCTGAGACTTCGCCGTCGAAACCCTAATATTTAGCGCCGTCAGATCCAACCAAAATCAAAGGTCCTAAGACATAATTAAGCACATTTTCTTAGCTTATCATGAATCATTAGTCAGAGTCATTTTTGTTTTGGGAACAAATCCGAAATGCTGTTCAAGACTTTCCACAAATCCGCAGATGAATCACAGACCACAAGCCATACACAATCGAATATCCAGATGTAACAACGCGACACATACCAGGTATAAATCACAGATCAACACCTAAACATCAAAATGGTAACGGCGATCGAAGAAAATGAAAACCGACCTCTTTTCCGGCAAGCTCAGATGCGTAAGGGAGGACAAAATTGACGGTGAGCTTCGTCGGAATCGAAGAAGCAGTAGAAGGACGAGGTTTCATGAAGGAAGAAGGAGTCTGCGGCGGGTCCATGTTCGGGGCGACTTTCTTCCATGCCTCGACGAAAGTCGAATCGATCGTCGATGGAAGTTCCGTTGAAAAGGCACGAGCCGTCACCGATTTCGAGGATACGGCGGCAACAGATCGGGAGAGGAGGCGGGAAGTTTGTCTGAACATGGCGGCGATTTGTTGGTGATGAGTCTCGGGAAATTTGGGAGATACGACGCGGATGTGATAGAGAGTCGATAGAGAATCAGAGAACTCTTAAAAATGCTGTAGCTCAAGTGTTTCTTGGACTCTGAATTTCACGCGCTTTGGTTGCGCGTGAAGCTAATTTTTAACTCTAGTTTCGGCCAACATAAACTGGGAAAAGGCCTTGTTTTAAAAATAATTAAGCCCACTAAAGGCCCATTTAACAGTTTTAATCTTACTGTACCTGTGATAAAGATATAAATTTACAAAGTTCTCCGAGCTTCAAATTGTTCGGCCTTTAGCAAAATTGTAACCAAATTATATTTGAATGTTAAACAGATCGATTAAGAAAGGTTCCTTGTTTTCAATTGTTTCTGTTCTGAAAAATAGTTACCAAAAGAAACTGAATGTAAACATAGATGGATTATGAAATTATGAGTTCGTTCCACTTCAAATAGTTAAAAATGGGCATAAATTGTTGGATTTTATTTACATCATTCAAGGCTTGATTTGAACTTTCCAGATATCAAACAAATAAAATAAATTTAACTTAATGAAAATTCGGACAAGTTTAAGAATCGGTCTCCATTGTGTTCTAAAATTTAAACGTTGCAAAACTTACAGAACTCTCATCCTCTCTCTGATTTCTAAAAACTACCATTTCATCTGGCAAAACCCTAAGTTTACTCCACAAATATATAACCAGGTAACACCTAAACACTGAGAAGAACTTGTACTTTTTTACCAGATTTACATGAAAAATAAGATATACCTTTTTCCTTGGTTTCTTTAAAATAATTTTTGTTCATCTTCGGATGGTCAGTCAAGCTCCAGCTTCATATGCCCAGAAAGTATCTGGATCGGGACAGAGAAGAGAAAAGTCTGGTACTTCGAGATTCGCGACGTGCCAATCAAGGAACCGAGCTTGTATTGACTTGAGTAACAATAGGATTGTTGGTAACACCCACCACTTATCATCGTCTCTGCCAAACACATAAAACCAATTTTGAGATCATGTAATTTACAAATTTTTGTGTGTGTATATGAATAAAAGACACAAGTAACAGAGCAAAACCACTATTTATTATTACCTTATGGCGTTCCAGATGTTTGTCCTATCATTAAGTTGGTCAGAGAAAAACCCAGATTGAATGATACCGCTAATAAAAGCCACAATCTGCAAAATGAAAATACTTGCGGGAATAAGAGACAACAGAGAGAAGACGAGGTCACTTGTTTTGGAAATATATGTATCAACTTACGACGTTTGTTAGAGATGTAGCGTTCCAAAGAGCGTAGATACGAGTAAGTGAAGCTCTTCTCATTTCTTTACTCAACAAAGCGTTAAGCCCGGCGGGGAAAGGGCAAAGCAGAGAAAGAGGGAGAATCAGGAGAATAGCGAGAAAAGCTGCAAGGGCAAGCCAATAGAACTGTAGCAATGCAAGAAGCGTAACTGAAAGATCCGCAAGAAGAAGGATGGATATCAGACGTAGAAGAGTATCCTGCATACACCACACGTGAAGATTTTGCTTATGTTAACACAACAGAAGAAGTTAACACAATAGTTTAGTTCAGGAGTGGAGAATGTGTAAAACCTGACGACCAACGGGTCGGGTATTGTTCAGTAAGAGAGAAAACGGGAATAGTAAGTCCCTCCTGTACTCTAGAGATTCTATTGAAATCTCATTGATGAGTCCTCCATTGATTCCACCATTGATTCTCTTCCGAGATAATCCATGTCCTGGTTGGATCAAGTTTTGTTGCAACTCGATAAGCGATTTGCTGGGACATGCAGAGCTGTTCCTATATAATGGCTTAAGTCTCAGACAAGTGATAATAACCAGATTAGGTCAAAGAGAAGCACAATCTATCATATATGGCTCACCGAGGGGACTCGTCGTCACTTCTGCTGAATGAAATTGATCGGTCTACAGAGTTCAGAGGAAAATCGCCAACAAAAACCAATATACCAAGTTGGTAATATCCAGAAGCTGTAGCTTGAAACCACCCAAGTTCGATTCTTACTCCGTGGAATTCGAGCTGAGGATTTCCGTGGCTGTTTATCCACCTAATGACAGGAAGTAATGCTGAACGAATTGATCCATGCCTCACGGTCCTGAGCTGTGCATTTAAACCGGCGACAAAGCGGTGCCAAACACTTGGTGGGATGTGCTGAAACAGTGATTTGGGACCTTTAGCATATTCTCAAAGTGGAGATTTCGGAAAGAAAAATAAATACAGAGAGAGAGTTAAGCTGACCTGGCCAAGAAGATTTGTTAACAGTGCGTCACTATGAAGACTATAGGGTGACATATAACTTCCATCGCCACCAAACAGTATGCACATTGGGAATCTTTTCTGTATTATAGAGACCATATCTACACGCTTCTCGTCACCACCGAGAAAAAAGTCTACGTATGCAACCATCAGGTCAGGAGTGGCTCCAACCTGTTTCGACGGTGGACAAAGACAGTCAAGATACGAAGTGAAGAGCTAGAGCGTATAACATTAGATGATTAGAATCCGAACCTTCATGCCTTTGTAGAGAGCTCTAGATCTGCATGAGCGGAGGCAAGAGTGGTCATATTGAGATTTTACATATTCCTGAAGGCGATGAATTTTTCTCCTGCGACGCCATTGTTTCCAAGACCAGGCGCAAGGATATGCGAGAACTGCTAGAATGCTGTGCACAGACCCTTCCCACCAATCATATGCCGCTGTAGAGTTGATCTCATCAATAAATCTGTTAAAAGCATCTTCGTACCTGCGAATCAGAAATGTTCAGAACAATGAGTGGACATGCCTTGGAATAAAATGAACTAAAAGTCAATGTCACATTGGTCAGAAAAGAGTAGGATTGAAGAACCTTGACTCTGGATTAGTGACATACAAAGTCACTACTTTCAGAAAAATGGTAAAGAGAACAGACATACTTGTTATAAAAGGAGCACAAAAGAGACTGTAACTTAAGCTTTCGTATTCTTGCCAATAGCTTTTAGTTCAATCATTTCATTCAAACATTCAATGGCATCCAATCGCAACAGAATTTGACCCAGTCAAGCTATATCCTTACACTATCTCGATGATTGCATCAGGAGGAGAGTAAGGCAGATGCCATGGTTCCCTGAAAGTGTTTGGACCCATGAAGTACATACGGTAAGCATGGGTTTGGGTATCATCAGATTTTGCGCCTCGAACCTAACGACAAAAAAAACAGGCCAGAAAGTTTGGTTGAAAAATACTGGATTCTTACGTCTTACAAAAAAAGGGAAGATTTTAGGACAAGACAATCTTCGTAACACCATACCTCGGAGAGTGAGAGAAGATGGGGCAAACAATGAGCACTCTGGTTTTCGATGGAACTCGCACCATAGAAACTTAGTCTGAGCAATTTGATACTTAATGTGCTTAGCAACAGACCCAAAACTACCACCACGCAAGATAGAAGAAGAGCAAAGGGCAATGGCCCTCCAAATGCATAAACAAGCTCTTCCAGAGGTGTATAGCAGTTTGGCATTCTGTACTTGTCAGATACACATTTGTAAGGACAAACAGGTTCGCTAACTCCTCCTGCAGATTCAAAGCTCTTTTCGTCAGAAGACATCTCAATTAAGAAGAAACACAAGATCAGGGGACGGCAGAACAAGGCAACTATAAGAAGAATAAAAATACCTCGCACGTATACAAATTTTGCACGATTTGGAAGATGCTCGGGTGGGCAGGGTGTACAAAGACGTCTGTCAGAGCCTTCAACATTCTTGTAAGTGCCAATGGGGCATTCCTAAAACAACACATGAATCCAGAGATATCGAGAAGTATCAGGCCCAAGCAAATAAGCCAGAGATTTGCAATTATGCTAAAAGAACACTACTCGGCCTGTCTAATTTCGTGGTTTGTTACACTCATTTTTGTTGCTAGAATGCGAGATAAGTAATGATGGTGAAAAGCCTAAGACATAAATGGCAAGTGTCAATGTAAGTACAACATAATAGGCTTACCAAGCAAAATGTACCATAGAGTCCCTTTGGACACTTTTTTCCAGTCATCGTTCCCTCTTCCCCATGACGGCCTCCATTGTCCCCTGCACCTCCTCTGGAGACATCAAAAAGCAAGCAATTCAAGGTCTGTGTTCAAGTTTTATAAAAATACGTTTTTTCTGTCAGGTTCCACAGAGATCCAAGATACGTTCCAAAATTTGCATTAAAAAAAGAACAGGCAGAGTCTCAAGCAGCAACAGTAAGATCCCACCGTCCTCTCATATCCATGGCGATGCATAGTACTAAAGAATATGCATGACACACAAAGTAGCTAGCTAGTATGTAATCCTGCAATCATGACAATGGTGCATACCTATTAGTAATGGACCCCTTAACGGTTGCAACAGGAAAATACTCGTCACCAGTGTGTAACATGTCCCAGTGAAAGTGAAGTCTCCCACCTCCACCCCCACCACCCCCAAGAGGGCCACCTCGACCCCCTTGAACTGATAGAGATGAATTCTTTGAGAGTTCAAGCCTCTGAAGGAAAAGAAGAATCGTCCCACCAGATGCTCCACCAACTCCACCGACCAAAGATAATTTACTATCCGCTATTGGCTCTCTAAGGCTTTGGCCATCAGAGCTTAGAGATCCACGCAGATTAAGTGTCAAAAGAGGAAAGTGGATGGAGCCAATCACTGAAAAAGAGGACAGTGGAAGTGTCAGATGTATAAACAGATAGTTCACAGTGTGCTATTATCGAGTGCGAGCTTAGCAAGGAGAAAAGTGAACAACAAATAGTACTGACCAATCATCCCTCCACCAATCACGTTTCCATATGAATTATCTGGACTTTCAGCTCCGCTCCCTAACTCACAGGGAAAATCCGGATCGCCGTAGGTGTGACCTCCATTGCACACTCTCCCATTGAAAACGCCTGATCCCCCTCGCCCTCCATGCCCAGCACCACTACCAGCTCCATTTGAATAAAGTCCTTTCCCCAGGCCACCACTGCAACCTGTCATAGGATTTTATCCATAGAATACCAAATTAATCTTCTTTCATACGTTAGAAAGGTAATTAAAATTTCGACGAAATAGGGAGAACCCGCTGCAGTGAAAGGGCAGACAGCTATAGGAATTTGCTGAAAAGGGAATTGATGATTAAGTTTTCGTAGTTTATGTACCAAATTCAGATGCAGTGATCAAGCCTTCATCGGTAACTACTACCGTTCTTGCCCTGTGGATTTGAATTATGCTTCCTTTTACAAGTCCACTCACAAGAATGTCCTCAACTCGACATATCTACAGAATTAAAAGGTTGAAGGTCAAAAGTTGAAGCTAAAGTTGGAGACTGAAACAGAAAGTGTTACCATGCCTAACTGGAGTGTTTCAGGATTAGGGAACTCACAATTGGTTGGCTTATATTAGCATAATGTTTGATCAGCCTATAATTTATTAATAGTAGACTCTTTACTTGTGTGACTTCATAGTAAGTAGTCCAAAGTCTACATCACAAAATTTAACTTGTGCCAGAAAGATAATTCTCTCATATCAAACTTACCTGAAGAGAAAAGGATAGTGTATAATTGACATGGCAATCATCCGGTGGACTAATCAAGTCTATTGGGCATGTCTTGCTCTCACAAAGGCCATGAGTAACCCTGTAAAAAAAAGAAAGAGAGTTTGTAGCACAAGCGTTTCAGTTATTAAGTTTCTAGCAAAAGTTTCTCACAAAAAATAACGTTAACGCATAGGAAGTCATACTCACGCGTTTTTGCTTTCACTGTCGTCAAGTGGTGCTTGAAGGATAGAACCTGGTCCAACCTGCAAATTTAAGAAAACTTGTGAAAAACAGTTTTGCATAGTCCACCGATAACTATTTCTAAGTAAATTTTTGTAACAGACAGACAAAAACATGATCTCATAATAACGTAGATATAAACAAATCAACAGAAGTTGGATGATATAATCATGTTAAAACAATGATTTCTTACGGTTATGTTGTAAAACTGAGATAACGAAAGTCTCTGGCCTTTGATTGCATCCCCAGGACCGGTGAGCGTCAACATTCCTTGACCATATACACCCAAGTTCGCATTGGAAGTAATGACGGAATTTTCCTACAACAGTAAGTCAAAATCTGTCTTCCAATACAACCAACAAAGAAAAAGAGCAATGGGAAGTGAGAAGATGTACAAGTATACCGTTAGAACTGCAAGGTTGCGAACTTCAAGGACAGAGGAAGGCACTGCAGGGTTTCCTTCACCATCGATTTGAATCACAGAATTCAACATGAGCAGCATTTTCGTAACAAGTCGTAATGCACCAAAAACCTTCATTTACGGACAAAAAAGCTCAACATATAGAAAAGGCAAGACAGTAAAAGAGAACCAAGATTGTTTACTGGACGGTTAGGAACAATAACCTGCCTTTATAACAGAGTCACTCATTAAAAGCTCTTCTGCAACAAGCTCAAATTCTGAAATTGGATATTTTGATAACCCAAAGACAATGCTGCTTCCCCGATAAAGACTGATTTGACCTCTGACCTTCATAATCAGAAAAAAAAAAAAATTAACATCTATGTGTTGTGCCAACACAAAGTATTTTTATAAAAAGAGAGACCAAGGGGATTGTATTTAACAACCTAATAAGAAAGAAATGAAAATCGAAAGGTCAACTGTTAAAGAAACCATATACAAAGTCAATCATATTTTAATAAATACCTTGGTTAAAAAAGTGTACGCGGATCATAAGAAGAATCCGGGTAGAGAAGATGATGATTCAAGACTTTATTGGGGAAAAAAAAGAGAGTAAGGAAATGAACTAACCTGCATTCTGGTCCACAGCAGCGGAACCAAAACTTTTGCATGATTATCAACATAGATGTTTGACCACAGAGGCCTTGTAGGAAAATCGAGCAAAGGAGTTTCTGTCTCTGTAGTCATGTTATCATTTCCAACCCTTAAACTCACTAACTGTGCATTAAAGTACGTTCCCGCTGCTCCAGAATTTTTGGGGCACCCGATACTTGCACCACCTGCAATTAAATAACACATACAACCAAAAAATTTAGTATAGACGAACTGCTAAAATATTCAACACACAGCCTAAAACGGAGAATTATTAACCACAGGAAACAAACAAAGGACATCAAGTTTGCCCACAATAGGAAACCTTGAATTCACAACTAGTGAGAGTACTGAAAGGTAGCAAAAATACAAACCATGCACAAGAACTTGGACATCTTCTTGTATGCTGTAACAGTCAAGGGAGATCCTTCCTCCACCACCTCCACCCCATCCACTCCCACCTGATGCCGATATTTTACCATAACCCTTCCTACATATCCAAATCACACAAAATTAACAAGTTACCATCCAATAGTAACATCAATTTCAAAGTGTTTCCAAAACACAAATTGTTACAGTCAGGTTGCAGCTCGAAGTAGGTAAGATATGATTCAATCACCCACAAAATTTGTAAATGATTGAGATGGGAGTCAAATGGACTTACAGCTTTACCGCATGAATACAGATACTTCCTCCGGATCCTCCACCTCCTTCCGCTCCACTATCACCACCGTCCGCGGAAACAGATCCATTCAACAGTATTGAGTCCTTCAACACCAGTTTGACACGGCCTCCACCTTTGCCTCTGATTTTCTTTGTGGATAACTTAACGCCTCCTTCGCTCCCATAGCTCCACGGCTCATGCAAAGACGACCAGGAGTAAACATCCCCACCCCAATAAGTCGATACATTGCTCTTCACACACGAAGCGCCTCTCCCGCCGTGGCCACCGCCTGAACCGTCGGTGCCGACTGGTGTTCCACTAGTCTGAGAAGGCGGCGGTCCAGCCAATGCCGTCGTGTAGATGGACGAGTTGCTATCCATTGTCAGGTTGATGGCAGCGAAAACCACAGAGCCGGCAACGATTCTCGCCGACTGACCCACGTGGATGTTTCCAGAGACATTGAAAGTGATCATACATCCTTCGATGGGGCACTCTACTAAGACGTGGGCAAGTATGTTGAGATTCCCAGTTCCGTACACGAATACATCAGAATCAAAACGCAGATTTGAGTTCAATGTGCAAGTGGTGTTGAGCGATCCAACACCATCCAGGTCCTGACAAGTCACGGAGCTCCAGGAACTAGAAGAATTCTTGGAATCTTCATCTGAAATTAATCTCACGCCTAGATACTGTGATAAGCTAAGGCATGGCGTGGATACCAAAAGGACACACAAGAACGCGAGTTCGAGCATCACCAAGTGAAGCAAAAATCAGTCACACACTACCCGAGAGAAGCGAGATAACATCTAAGAAAAAGTCGCAATTCTCAGTCGATTAAGTTCGATTCCGTAAAAGCTTCTGCTAATCTGAATTCACAACGATCTCCATAAACAGTGTAAATTGTTGTAGCATACGAAATCTGAACAGACTCTCCTTCTGCAACAACGAGAGGGAAAAAAATAAAAAATGAATTTTTTTCAGAAAATCTAGTAAGAGGAAAACAATTGAGTCATAGTGGGAGGAGAGTTCCGCGAAAACGGTATTGATAAAACGAAGAAAGGCGAAGAGGAGAGAGTGGATAAAATGGCTAAACCTGATAAGAAATCGAGAAAAGGAAGGAAAATCTGGGTTTTGCTTTGAAGCTTTGGATCTTCCGGAGTGAGTCAGAGATGGTCTCTTTCTGTTTTACTTCGCTTTCCTTTTGTTTTCTCCAGCGTATGAGAAAGAGGAGAGAGAGAGACTGTTATGGAGTTGAAGCTACGCTTAAATCAAATGTACAGCTGTCCTCGGCATCAAAGATAAATCTATTTCGTGTATTACTACTTTTTTTTTAATATATGATAATTACTGTATTACGTATATCAGTTTTGATTATTATTTGTTTATGTCAATATAATAAAAGTACAGAACTTAAGAAGGAAAAATATTGTTTACCTCACTGCCCTTTATTTTTTCCCATAAATTAGCAGATGTGATGCAACCCGTTACGCTTTTTTCTTTTGTCGAGGTTGATAAAATATATTATAGACATAAATCAGGGAAAACAAATTAAATACTGATAAGAAAAATATCTGATCTACTTTAAAGTATTAGAGAGACGGGTTTGATTGATTGGCGCGAATCAAAATTCTTATGTAAAACTCCTATATATCAGCCAGCAAAACATATAAAATAGCTCAGATTAATTTACCTATATGACAGATTTGAAAAAAAAAGTCAAGCCGGAAGCTTAATTTTATCTCATAAATTGGCATGTTACCAGCAATGAAAAAAGAAGAAATTTGAGGCGTGTCAAAAGCCAATATCAACGGATAAGAGAGATATTTAGGGAAAATATTTAAAAGATATTGATTTTGAAGGCCCAGCTAGATACTTAATCTAGAGAGCAGGTATAAAGTTCACAGCATCTCCCATTTCAGTTTATTATTTATAAAAAATTCCAGTCCGTGAGAAAGTCCCCATCAATTTTCATTTGATTTTAAAGCTAAAGTTAAAAACCTCAAAGAGGTCATAGCCAAAATCTTAGAGAGTTTCTTGTCCGTTTTGAGGTCAGTCCAAAAAACAGATAACGCGTTTCGTGTAGGATTTTTGGGCTTCTGCCCTTTTATGGAAACCCAACAAAGTATCCATGAATTACCCACCTCATGTTAGTTAATAATGACACTTGTTCAAGGTCACAAGGAACCAAGCGATGAGACGAATGTTGAAGAAATTCCGTATTTAACCCAAAAAATAAACATTGACTGCACTGAACATTGAGATATTTTGTTTTGAAAATCCTTCAAATTAAAGATATACTTTCGGAATACGAAGACAAATTCAAACCTTAACCGGACCAAACCGAACAAAATTGTTTTTATTTGTATGAATATCAAAATTCAAAACCAAAAACCAGACTGGACAACCCTCATAAGCCACAAAGAACCAACCGACGTGGAAACAAATTTGCACATTCAATCTCAAAGAGAACCGAATCATATTTGCCGACTCAATGATTCAAATCAAGCACTAAGTGAAAATATCTATTAAAAAAAACAAGAGATTTGTAGTAATCATATCAATATCACCAAATACCACCACCAATTTTAACTATGGGTAGCTTCAGATAAATAACTGACTACAATAGGAGGATAAGATTAAAATATTACACGGCAAAAGCAAACATATTAAAGCCTAGACGATTTACGGACCAAAGACTTTCCCCCCAGGTTACCTTGCTTCTCTTCATTATCATTACCTGTTGCTGCGTTAAGCGAGCCAGAAAGGCACACGTACCTTGCAAGCACCCGGAAAGCCACCAGATGTTTGTTTGGAGCCGTGAATAGCACGATACCAAGAGGCTGCTGAATTTGCAAAAAAGGTTTATAAACCCATTGCATTCAACTTTTGCCTTTTGTCACCTTTTAGCCATTGTAAGGAAGCTTTGGGTTTTGTGAGCCTTGGTTAGGTTGGGATTGCTGTGGGCCTGAAAGGTTTATTGGCTGCGTGTAGTGTGAGAACGGCTGCGAGTAGAGTGAATTCGGGAGACCCTGAGTGACAAGAGTCGTTAGCATCTTAAACATGTGTACATAGAAAAAAGATGGTAAACACTAGTAAGGACTCAATTGTTTGCCAGAGTTTGCGTCAATGTAATTTCTCTAAATGTAAATAAACCCACAACCTTCATTCATCACCTCTAAACGCAAACAAACGATCGAGGATGAGGATAGTTCACACAAAAAGAACAAACCTGAGACTGAAGATTAGGATTGTTCACACCAAATGGATTCTGTTGTCCATCATCCTGGGAGGAGTCAATAAAGCCAGCTTGGGTGAAAAGACCTTGTCCTCCATGTGCCATATACTCCTGCTTCCGCAGTAACAAGCTCAGACGAAGGTGTAGGAATAAACAAACTGTGTGAAAAGGAAAAGCCCGGTGAAACATACCTGAGACATGAAATCATTACCCCCGCTGAAACGAGAATAACCGCCTTGAGAATTCTGGTTCATAAAGTTTCCAGGAAACGCGCCATGGGCTCCTTGTGTCGCATAATCAACAGCATATCCTCCCTGTGAGGCCTACAAATATATTAAATACAAATATGGCTCATACTCATCATACAAAAATAAAAAGTGAAAACAAAAGCTAGTGATTCCTACGCGAAACTTTGCAGCACATAGTCATAGATTTAGCCCAACCTCCTAGTTAAAGATTCCAAAATACGCTCATCCTACTATCTTCTATCCAAAGTATAATATTTCTAATCACTAAAGCAGAAGAGAAACTACACCTGTGTAGAAAAGTCGCCCATGTTGTAAGGAACATGAGATCCCTGGCTCTTAAAATCATCACCCAAGAAATCCTGGAGGTTTAGAAAAAAAAAGGAGATTAAACAACAGGCAAAAAGTAGAGTACACTGCAACCATGTCAACGAATAACATTAAACCAGAAGACAACCTGAGATATGCCGCCCATAAATCCATCCCTGAACGCTTGGCTACCCTGAAAAGGCAACAATCGTGTCATAATTTAAAGTATATCAAGATCTAATGCTTTAAAAACTAGATTAAAAGATAAAATTTTGAAAAGAGATGCGGAAAATACTTACATATCCAGGTTGGGATAGAGGACCACCAGGTGAAGGCTGGCTATTTGGACTATCAAGTGGAAAGTTCAAATTCGGGCCAATAGTTCCAACATTATGCTGGGTGGCTTGTTGATGCCCAGCTGAACTTCCCCGACCAGCACCAAAACCATGGTTTCCAGGTTGGGGAGCAGCACCGACAGGCCCACGAGTTGGAATAGCGTATGGCTGAGAAGGAGGACCACCAGGGAATGGTGAAAGTGGTACCCTAGGTATTGGGTACCCAGCTGGGTGTAGTCTAGCACCATTAGGTGGGCCAGAAGGCATATAAGAACCACCAGCTGAACCAATAGATGAAAAAATTTAAACATGTACTGTACAGAAAAGTATATATAATCACAGAAGATACAAAAAATGGTACTGGAGATTTACCCCTTCCACGGCTGCCTCTTCTGTCAGCATTTGGATTACCAGAACCAAAATTATCATTTCCGACTATGCCAGCCCCACCACCATAAAATAGTCTCCGATCATTGTAAATCTAAAAACGAATATGAATGCGGATTAATGTTCAAATTGCTTATCATGGTAATCTATGTAGATGGAGGACAAGGAGGTTCATTTGGTACCTTTCTTGGTTTCTGAAATTGTACCATGCTCTGCTTTAAATTATTAAGAGGTCCCTCAACCAAGCACTCATGTTCCTGATAGTAGAAGGAAAACAAACAAAAGGCTCAAGTTAGTATCATACAATCATTCATATAACTCAACATATTCTGGACTCAAGAGGATTACATCCCGAAGCCTCAAAAAAAAAAAATGATTGTTACAACTGAGTGACAACAGAAGGTGATAATAACGATACAGTAAATGACCTCATTTCTACTTTACAAGAATAGGTTTACCTTGTAATGCGTCAGCAAGCCATTCCACAGAGGCTGTTTACTAAGAACCTTCGGGTTTCCAAGAATAACAATTCCATAACGAGCACGTGTAAGTGCAACATTGAGCCTCCGTGGATCATTAAGGAAACCGATGCCCTGAAAACCATAAAACCATCAGTTACGAGTCAAATCATACAATGTTTCCCGGAAGGAGTGTACCACAGAAAACCCACAAACCTGATGCTCGTTACTTCTCACACAGGACAATATGATGTAATCTTTTTCTCTTCCTTGAAACGAATCAACACTGGCAACCTGTAAATTCGAGAGCTTGTTAAATAAATGACATGATCACATAAACCTTTTTTTTAACCGACTTTGGCAATACTACCTCAATTTCCTTGTAAAGTTGTTGTCGGAGAGAACCATTTCTTGCCATGTAATTAACAATGTATGCCCTCTGTCCCTCGTACGGAGTTATCACTCCAATCTGGTAACAAACATAATTCGATATTGTCAACATATACCAAAATAATTTACTAGACACAATAATCAATCCTAGTACACTCACCTGACTGGGGACAACTCCACTCTTTAAGAAAGCTGTCACAAGTTTTTCCACATTAGCAGCCTCGGTTCTATTTAGATATGATGTTCCACTAGCACTGATCTCCTCTTGCCCCAGCTGCATATTGAAAGACAAGATAAATGGATCAAGTTTGTTTTAATGGGGTTGGGCAGCGGGGATCCGGGATCTGCTAGACCATGTTTTTACGTTCTAAACTAATACCAATGCGAAGTTTGATACCTGGACATAGAAAAACATGGGCCGGTTGGGCACAGGCCACGGGAAATCAATCCCTGTTGTTTGCCTTTCAATAATTGTGACTCCATTTTGTAGTGTTCCTTCATAGAAGCTATTGGATGGAAACTCGGACAAAGCTGGATGCATACGATATTGAACCTGAAATCAAGAACGTGACAGCATTTAGTGGACAGCCACCAGGCGTAGTAACAAAATTCCATTTCAAATGGTAAAATCTGCTATGTTAAAGCAAAGCGACTAAAATAGTACCTGCAATCTAATTGGTTTAATGCCAAGAAGCACAAGACGCTCAAAGAGAGACTGTGCCAAGCCAGCACGAGCTGCTTTCTTGCACATAATGACGGGGCCAAGCTGGCAATGATCACCAACAAGAACAACCTAGTGCAAAAAAACATCTGTAAGCAATCGATAATTGCTGACGGTAACAAGTCAGCTTGTTGAGAGCCCTAATACCTGTTTTACCCCGAGGACCAAAGGAATAAGGCACTCAGGCTCTGTTGCTTGAGTAGACTCATCA